CATCCTTGCTGTTACTAAAATAAACTCTCTACAATACAATTTATCAGCCTTGAAGGAGCTCTAGTGGTATAGTAGTTAAGGCATTTGTCTGTCAACCAAAATGGCAGTGGTTTGAACCTACTAGCCAATCTGTGGAAGAAAGATGAGCAAGTTTGCCTGCATAAAGATTTACAGCCTTGGAAATCCAACTGGGTTGCTATGAGTTGGAAACAACTCAATGGCAGGGTATTTGGTTTTGGATATGGAATATGTAAATAATTACAAGTACACGAAGCATACACTGTGTCGGGACAGACTGTGGATCCTCTTAAGTAGACATAAAACCATTTGCCATCAAGTCTTTTTTGATTTGTGGTGACCCCATGTGTATCAGAGTAAAACTGTCCTCCATAGGGATTTCAGTGGCTGATTTTTTAGTAGAATATTCTCAGACCTGTCTTCCAACATACCTATGGGTGGACTCTTAGTTCCAACTTTTTGGTTAGCAGCCCAACACATTAACCATTTACACCACTCTGGGACTCCTATACCTAGTCCTCTTCCACAGTGATTGAGAGAAAAAACATGTAAGTGCCTACTGTCTCAAAAATAATAAGGGTATACAGTATCACAGCTATGAAAAGCCAGCTTCATTTCTCAGTTATTTATCATTAGGTCAAAGCTAAGTAAAAATAACAAGAAAAAGATAAATAAGAGCTAACTTTTTTGAGTGCTTACTACATGTCATGGCCTTTATATGACTACAGCAAGCAGAATCATGGCCCCAAAGATGCCCATGTCCTAAATCCTGGAATGGGTGAATGACAAAAGGATTTTGGTGATGAGATAGGGAGATTATTCAGGCCTATCAGGTAGCCCCAGTCTGATTCCATGAGTCCTTAAAAGTAGAGAACCCTTCCCAACTGTGGTCACAGAGGAGTGTGATGACTGAAGAAAGGTCAGCTAGGTGGCGGCATGAGAATGACTTGACATGCCATTGCTGGCTTTGAAGATGGGGAAAGAAAGCCACAAACCAAAGATGCTGGAAAAGGCATGGAAGTGGATTCTCCCCTAGAGCCTTCAGAAAGGAACACAGCTTTGTCAACACCCTGATTTTAGGCCAGTTAGACTCATGTCAGAATTCTGACCTAGAGAAATGTAAGATAATGTTGTGTTATTTTAAGCCACTAAGCTTGCAGTGGCATAGTGCCTAAGGCATTTGACTGCTAACCAGAAGGCTGGCAGTTCAAACCCACCAGCCACTCCTCAGAAGGAAGACTGGGCAATCTACTTTCGTAGAGACACCACCTCAGAAACCCAAGGAGGGATTGCTATGAGACGGAATCGACTTGATGGCAGTGAGTTTGAAGTTTGTAATGATTTGTCATAGCAGCAATAGAAAATCAATGCAATATCCTATTCCATTTAGTCCTAAAAACAGAATCCGATACCATTATTATTCCTATTTTACAGAAGAGAACACCAAGTCTCCGAATGGTCAACTCAAATGGAGTCACTTAGTTGGTGAGAGATAAAGCTGGAGGGAGTAAACCCCATGTTTTTTTTTTCTCTCCAAAAGACAGGAAAGACAATTTATGAGTCAATATACATGTGACACATGTTTCAGAAGCAGGGAATAGACAGGAAACTGGCAGAGATTTATAATTATGTGAGGTAATGGCTTAGAAATTATGTGAGGATGATGAAACTATGAATACCCAAAGTGAAGTAACATAGTCTTAAGTAGAATAAAGATAGAAATTTTCAGTTAGAATCATTATAATAAAGCTCCCTAAAAAGCAGAAAATTTTTAAATTAGCAGAAAGAAAATTATAGATGTCACAAGTAACAGAATGACAAGTTGAGAGACAATGTAATTCTCATCAGAAACAACAGATACAAGGAAGAACTAAACAAAATCATCTACAGGACTGAAGAAAGAAAATCAAACCAAATTAAAACCAAACAAAAATAACTCCATGGGCTAAGAACTCTATGTCCAGCCACATTTTCAATTAAGATTAAGAGCAAACTAAAGGTAATACAGACAAGCAAAGGCAGCAGGGGAAAGGTTAAATAATGAGTAATCTTGTGATTGAAAACAAGGTAGTATTAAGATATAGGATAAAGGGATTGAAATGTGGGACAGAGCACCTAAGAAATGTATCCTATACTAGGACAGATGAGAGCTGACTACTATCATTAGACTTGCACATATATAGTTTTGTTTCATAAATTGTGGTAATTCCTAAATCACAGAAACACCCTGTATAACTTCCAGACCAGGGAAAGAAATTTAAAAGAGATGGAACAAAAGACTCCAGTAAAATTTCAAGACAGTAGAGATTTCCAAACAAGAGAAAACAAATAGAGCAATGAATAGATGAAGAAACAAAAACAAAACACCAGACAAAAAATTCAAAATAACCAGGGACCTAAAATTATAATAAGATGTTGGAACAAGATGAACAATAGCAAGAAAAATTGGTATAGAAGAGAAAAATTATTTTAACTAAAATAAAAATGTAAAATATATAATTTTATATAAAATATGTTTTATACAGTATATATAATATAAAAAGTTGGAACAAGATGAACAATAGCAAGAAAAATTGGTATAGAAGAGAAAAATTATTTTAACTAAAATATAAATATAAAATATATAATTTTATATAAATATATAAAAGCCATAGTACAAAACAAGTGAGGGAAAGGATGAGAAAGAGAAAAATAAAGTAAGGAAGGTAAGATGAAATTGAACTACCTGGGTTCAAACTATAGCGTATACACTGCCTAACTGTGAGATCTTAAAAAAAAAAATCACCTAACCTCTCTGACCTTCACAGATAAAATGGGGAATAATCATATTAATTATTTCAAGGATTGTTGTACTAAGTCGTTGTTGTTGTTATGTGCCCTCTGGTCGGACTCAACTCATAGCGACCCCTGCTTGGGTTTCTGAGGTGGTATCACTATGGAAGTAGCTTGCCCAGCATTCCTTCTGAGAAGTGGCTGGTGGGTTTGAACCGCCAACCTTCTGTACTAAGTTAGATATTGCATATTAAGCACTAAGCATAGTGTAGTGCCTAAGGCACTTGACTGGTAACCAGAAGGCTGGTGGTTCAAACCTACCAGCCACTCCTGGGAAGGAAAGATGGACAATCTACTTCTGTAGTGATACCTCCTCAGAAACCCAAGGAGGGGTCACTTTGAATTGGGTCCTACTGGATGGCACATAACAACAACAACAGCATAGTTAGTGCAAAAAAATAAATAAATAACAAATAAACAAACAAACCCACAACCATCTAGCCAATTCCTACTTATAGTGATCCCCAGTGACTTTCCAAGGTGGTAAATCTTTATGGAAGTATTCCCTTTATGGAGTTTTCTCCCTTTATGGAGATTCCCTCCACAGAGCTGCTGGTGGATTTGAACTGCCAACCTTCTGATTAGCAATCAAATGCCTGATGCACTGCACCACCAGAGCTTTTATAGTTCATGCAAGAACTCCTAAATAAGTTATGATAATAATAATAACAACAATCTTAGTACCCATATTTAAAGCTGTGGGACTATTTCCATTTTCACAGAGGATAAAAATGAACATACTGCCTTGAAGTCGGATCCGACTCATAACAACCCCTCCTTGGGTTTCTGAGGCAGTATCACTATGGAAGTAGATTGCCCAACCTTCCTTCTGGGGAGTGGCTGATGGTTTTGAACCACCAGCCTTCTGGTTAGCAGTGAAATGTCTTAGGCACTAGGCTACCGAGCTCCTATAAATATGCAAGGACCGAACAATTGTGGTTCCTGACCAGGGAGTGTAGCATTACTGCAAAGGATTTACCTAAAAGTCCACCAAGCATTCTCTAAATTTTGCCTTGTATTTGTATGTAATGTTATTTTTGAAAGCACATAAAGGCTACTACAATGATAACAATTCACGTAATTATTGCCTTGCGTATTGCCAGTAAGCATTTTCTCTTTTTCAGTGGATTTACTAAGAATATTATTGGCATCATGGAGAATGGTGTGTATTAGTTTATTGTTTTATTAATCAAAATAATTGGGACAGTATTGCCCCATTGTAACAAAATAAAAATAAAAGTAAAAAAAAAATAAAAATAAAAAGCTTTACTTTTGTAAAAGACTGCTCTTCTTTCCCTCAATGGCACAAAGAATGTCCAGAGTCACAAAGTAGGATTTGCTCTAGCAGAAGTTACATTCTGGTTCCGTTCCTAGCCCCACCAAGGACATCTGTGAAAGATTTGGGGCAAACCTGTTAAGCTCTCTGAGAGTGCTTTTGCATAGGAAATGAATTTGACTTCTGTAACTGTCATATTGCCAGGTTTTGAATGCCTTAATGGTAAATGATACTGGTTGCCCAAAATAACCAGATAAGCAGTGTTTCATCCATTCATTTTCATCTTCTTAATAAATCAAATAGAATATTATCTACTAATCCAATTACTTTATCATTTTGCTAATCCCATTTAGTCATATGTATGATGTATCTGTTTTATCAACCATTAGGTAAAATACTATTTATTATTTTGAGGGGATCTGATTTTAAAAAGAAAGTAGCAAAGAATATTGTAAAGTAGTATTATTTGGATAGTTTGAAAAACATCTTTCATGAGGGGAAAATTTTAAAAAAGCTCAGCTCGTTTATTCTAATTACTTGAATTAAGGAAGTAAGAGGCCATTGCACTGTCTTTGAACAACTCTCTTGACTTCCTGCAAAGAGGACCCTTTACAGTACTTTTGGAGAAGTTGGTAAAACTGAATCTGACATCATCACCTCGTACATGTAGCTAGCAAGTGGTTTGTTCTTAGGCTAACAAAGGAGGAAATTGCTCCCTGTCTGATAAGACAACAGTCAACAGTACGTATTTAGTTCTTTTTTATTTTTCATTCGGTTTTACAAGCAAAAATTTTTTACAGAGATAACTATTATTTTGCCTTCCAGAAGGACGCATGCTGTTGCATAAGGATACGGCTGATTTCCAGATATAACCATGTATATGTGGCTCAAACTTTTGGCGTTTGGTTTTGCCTTTCTGGACATGGACCTGCTTGTTACAGGTAAATCCAGGGGTATTATTATTTCCTTAATTATTTTATTTCTACTTTTGGAGGAACATTGATTGGAAATAGGCAAAAAAAAAAAAAAAAAAGGAAGTGTTGATGATTGGAAGTGAGGAAGACCGCTGTAAAATGGTCAAGGCTGTTGTTCAACAATGAGACCTGGTTTGTTATGTGACAGAATACCTTGTTTCTGTTTCTAAGAAGCATGAATGCTTGGGGAAAAATTGCAATTTAAAGTAAAACATGGTCTGCCTGTATATTTCTTTACAAATGAGTCAAGGGTATTGCAAAAGCAACTTTAGTTACTTGAGCCCCAACGTGATATGAGCTTAAGTTTGCGCAAGCCTGAGTAATTTTTTAATGACACAGTAGGTGCGTTTTTATCTTTTCAGTCAAAGATGCATAAGTCAGAAAAAATTTAAAGTTAAAGATAACTACTTGAATGTAAGCCACTCTCTGTCTTCGGATCAGGAGTTTGTTTCCTTAAAACTTGATTACTACTGAAAAGATTTTATTGAAAGTCTAACTGTATGATTTTTCAAAAAAATATACTTGAACTTGTCATGAAATATTAACTTTTCACAAAGTCTTTTCACAGAATATATTTTAAATCTACTCCGTAGTTCCTCATTAATAGTTTTAATGAATTTTTGCTTTGAAAATTCTAGTGGGGCCACCGCCCTTCCTGGATGATGGTTAAATAGTAGAGCCTTGAGGAGACAAAAATAGTTAAATTCAAAGAATCATGCAAATGCAGTATTCTGTAAGAAAATGTAGCTAATTAGACCTTGAGTCCTATTTCAGTGTGAGATCTCTGTACTCTTATGGTCTATTCGATGGACATTTCGTCAACAACTTTTTTTAACTGCATGATGAGTGTATTTCAGTTGATTATTGAATGGAACTAATTAATTTGAGATTTAGTATTTCTCCTTGTGATATATCTAAAAACCATGGGTTTTAATGGTAAGCATATTGAAATGGTTTTCTTTTAGAAATTCAAAATCAGTCATCAGAAAAAAAAAGAGAAAAGAATGTTTTTTAAAAATCTTGCTTATAGGTATTAACTTTGAAATCATGTTTTCACTTTATTTTTAAATTTCCTGCTGCTCTCCTTTTCTCAAACACGGACATCAGCCACCTCTTGAGCACGTTACATCACTGTTGTATTTTGGCAGCTGAGGGGAGTGGAAAGAAAAGGAGTCTGAGATAATTTTTTTTTTTTTCCCCAGTAAAGGAGGACTGGAAAAAAAAAGAAGAAAATCTACATAGATACAGCCTTTTGTCTTAGTGCAGAAAATGTTTATCAACTTGTCAGTTTTGTAAAGTGGCTTGTCCTGATCAAAATCATATTATAAAGAATAATGATTTAAATAAGCTTCTACATGTGTATTACCATAAATCAGGGCATCTTTCCATGAAAAATTTCCACTTAGGAACCGTTGCAAAGCCTTTCTGCATGAGCTTAAAGAACTACTGAAATATTTTGTAGGTCACACAGTAAATCGCCATAAAAAATTTCAACTCAGTATAGAAAATGTGTTTTTATCATGAGAAACATCTTTTAATACATAATCAAAATATGAATATAATAGATTCTCCAAGGCTTTAGGTCAGCTTTCCTGAAAAATTTATACTATAAAGAAATGGATGCATACATATAGATTTATTGTGAAAGATCAAATGTATCTTCAATTACTTTCATGAATATGAAGAGCAAATTTTCTAAAAGATATTGACAGTCTTCTTGAAATATACACAAATTTCTGGAGCAGGTACATAGACATATTCACTTGAGTCTGCTACTACTGTTCATCACACTTTTAAGTTCTGAGAGACATGTTGTTGTTCATTGTATAATTTGGGAGGTTATTGATATTTTAAACTATATGTTTTTCTTATTCACAACACATAAGCTGGATTACATGTTTTGTTTTAATGTCTTAAAATTGAGTTTAGTGTCTGTAGGTATATTAAAACTCTGCGTAGGAAAATTTATATTTTCTAATCTCTGTTGTTGTTGTTGTTGTTATGTGCCGTCGAGTCGGCCCCGACTCATAGTGACCCCTCCTTGGGTTTCCGAGGCAGTATCACTATGGAAGTAGGATTGCCCAACCTTCCTTTCGAGGAGTGGCATTAAAAAATAGAGTCTAATGTAGTGAGAGAGAAACATGTGCATGGTTCAGAAATTTGATTTATTTAATATTTAAAATACAAGTATTGATGGTGGCATTGAGGAAGAGGAAGACATAAAGAGGTGCATGGAAGGTACAGACAAGAAAGATGAACCCTTTTGCACATACAGTACAGTGGTGTCAGTGAAGGCAAACATTGATATATAGGTGGATAGATGGGTGGACAGGCTGAATGATTAGGTATGTCTATGTAGGGGGGAACGTGCCCAAGACCATGTATAGGATTGGCAGACAATGTTTCTACAAGTGCGTTTGTATATTCTGTAAGAATTCCCAGGTATATAGTAGAGCTGACCAGGGACAAGGTAGCCATAGCCAGCTACCTAGAGGAAGCAAGGAGTTGTACCTGTGGGCTCAGGACCATGGTCGCAGGGGACATCAAGCTCATTTGGCATAACATACTACAAGAAAACATTGTTCCACATCCTACTTTGGCAAGTAGTGCCTGGGAACTTAAAAGATTGTAAGCAGCTATCTAGATGCAATGATAGGCCTCTCCTCATTCAGAGCAAAGAATAATGAAGAAAACCAAAGACACATGGAAACAATTAGTCCAGTGACTGGTATGTCACGAGATCCTCAGCCTGTATGACTATGAGACCAGAAGAACTAGATGGTGCCCAGCTACCACTGTCAACCACTTGAAGGGGGACCTATGAAGGAGATACTGGGTAGAGTGGGAGAATAATGTGGAACAAAACACAAAATCATAAAAAAAAGAGGGGCCAGTTTTGCTGGTCTGATGGAGACCAGTTGAACCCCTGAGAGTATGGCCCCTAGCTGCCCTTCAGGTCTGCAATTGAACCCATTCCTGTGGCTTCCAGCCAAACAAAATACAGACATATGAGCTGAACACTTATGTTAGGTAGAGACACTCCTTGGAAAGATCAATCATGGGAGAAGAGAAAGGCTGGATATGCACAAAATGACAGCTGGGGGTGGGGCAGGACTGCATGGGAGGGAAGGACACAGGGAAGAGGTAACTATAGGGAGGAAGTGGGAAGAAAGCTGTTGCACTATGAGAAACTGCAGTCAATGTCATGAGACAAAGTGCATGTGAACTGCTGTATGGAAAATAAATTTGCTCTATAAACTTTCACCCAAATCACAATTTAAAATATATATAAATGTACAAGTATGGACAAGGCCAAAGTTAAGGTTTGCAGGGCAACTACAATGCTCTGTTCAGTTTTACGGAATAGTTCATATATTTTTATTTTCTGCCTCTTTGCCATGACAACTGGAAACCAAAACTTTGCTTAAAATTTCTAAATAAGTCTAGGGGACAATGGTAGTTTTGAAAATTCAGTTATGAGTGAGTGTTCACTGGCTCTAACAAAGGTGTAATGCCAGATAAATCTATTACTTCACCATAGCTGTTAAGATTCATTTCCTGGAAATAGGTCTTCATTTTTTCCAACTACATTAAACAGGAGTATCTCATATTGCAAATGTGAACTCTGCCTTACATATGACAAGCATTCAATAGAAATTATTCATTTAATTTGTTAAGCAATTTTTAGATACTCTATAATTTGGAGATTTGGGGGAGTGAATTGGATTATTTATTCTGTTTTTGTTTTTTTTTTTTTTTTTTAATCTTTTCCTAAGAACAACTGCCTGTGACCATTATCACTGTGAGAATTTGAAATATATTTTGTTGCAAGAGAAGAAAGGTGGGGGTGGGGACTCGCTTGTCCTCTTCCTCTTCTGCTGTTAAGTAACCATGCACAGGAGGAGAGTGGTTAGCTTAGCTAGGTCTTGCTTCTGTTTGAGATGATTTGATACCCCTTGACCAATTACAACTAGCCAATATAAAACAACAACAAAAAAAAAACCCAAACTCACTGCCACTGAATTGATTCTGACCCTTAGCCACCCACATTGGGTTTCCAAGGCTGTAAATCTTTACAGAAACAGACTGCTCAGTCTTTCTTTCGTGGAGCAACTGGTGAGTTTGAATCACCAGCCTTCTAGTTAGCAGCCAAATGCCTCAGCCACTACGCCACCAGAGCTCCTTATACATTTTTGTACTGGAAATCAAATACACACACACACACACACACACACTTATTCTAAAAAAAAAAAAAAACTCTATTGGCACAAATGATTAAGTGTTCAACTGCTAACCTAAAGGGTGACAGTTCCAACATACTCAGCAGTTTCATGGAAGAAAGACCTGGTGATCTGCTTCTCTAAAGATTACTACCAAGAAAACCCTATGTGGTAGTTCAGCTTTGCCATATGGGATTGCCATCAGTAAGAACTGACTTGATGGCACCTAATAACGACGACAACCTACTCGTTCTCCATATTTTTCTACTCTTTAAATACTGGAGTTCTATAGGCTTCAGTCCCTGGCCAGTTTTATTCTTATTTTCTACATTCTGGATTCTTTATCATTACCTCCTATTTGTTAATGAACCAGATTCTGTATCTCCAGACTCATCCCTTGGAAGGATGGAACCCATCTCCTTCCCTAACTCCAAACAATAAATTGCTTACAATTCCCAATCTCTAAATTATTTTTTCCATTCTTCTTCTTTATCTCCATTGCCATCACTTTAATTGACACATTTATCATCTTTCCTTTGTACTATTGTAACAGCTTCTAATCAGCCTGAAGTTTCATCCTTCCTTTTTATGCTCTGTAGCTTTAAACAAACAAACAAACAAAAATCTCTGCTATCTCATTATTGTATTTGGTACAGATTCTGCAGTCTTTGCCAGACCACTAGGCCTATCAAAGAGGTGGGCCTGGTGCCTGCAGGGATTTTTTTTTTTTTTTTGCCTTTTATAATTGGCAAAAGAGAA